ATGTATGTGTATCAGAATGTGCTTTCTGGTTAGTGATAATATTTTCTACTGTTTCATAGGACTGAAACAAAAGCTAAAGCTGATGCAGGGTGGTAGTTTTGTGCTTTTGTTGGCTTTCAGGTTTTGTAACCAAGAGTCTTGTCTCCTTTCTATTCCTCTCCATCTAAGCCACACCATTTTCTTTTCCTTTAAAGGAAGAATCGTTATATGATGTGAAAAACTGAGTAAACTAGGTTCTGGAGAGGTAAGAAGCCACAAAATATAATACAGTTGAGCTTAATAAATAATATATAATAAAGTGTAAAAGATTTATATATATATATATATATATTTTATATTTATGTGAGTTATATCTCCTGGACTTGTCAGGGCATGCCTCCAGATTACTACCTTTGTAAGCGTTCTTTGAGGCAAGAAGCAAGCTCTGATTCTGCTGAACTTTGATGATTCAATTCACTTAAACTTTTGATTATATGAAAAAAAAATTATAAATCCTTACACTATTGTTCTTTCTCATTTGTTCTATTTTTTGTTGGAATATTTATAAATATTTGTGAATTTGCATTAATTAATAAACCCAGACAGATTGATTTTATGGTTTTGTGTAAATTGTGATAGGTGAACCACACAAGTGAGTCCAACGAACAGAGACCCAACCTACAATCCTATAACCTTCAGTTATTCTCTGTCTTTTAATTGATTAAATCAAGGATAATAAAAGATTGATTAATTAATTTAATTATTAAGGAGCTTACTGATATGATCATATAAGTAGATCAATCAATAATCAACACACGTCACTTTTCATTTTTTTTTCATTATCTTTGCACTATTTAAAAAACTACGGGTGCTTAATAGGTTGTGAGTCTACCAACACTTAAGATAATTGAGGATGAAACTATTGGAGGAGCGAGATAGGCAAGGTTTGAAAGTGAAACATACTAGATTTGATGTGACTCAGGAAATCTGTTGGAAAGTACCAAAAACTAGAACAATGAGGGTGGATGTGAATGCGTCACAAAATCACTAGAACAATGTTGCTTGCGGTGGTTTAATATGAGACTTTGTGGATACTTGGATCGTTGGTTTTACGTGCAATTTGGGAAACATGCCAATCACTATTGCCGAGCAATGTGCCATCAAAATTGGGATTATTCTTTGCAATCAACATAACTTTGACAAAGTATGCATGACTTCAAATTCTGTAAAAGCACTCAATATGATTTTCAGACGAACAACAAGAGATCACCCTTTTTACAAGAACGTTGTGGAACTACAGACACTTGTTAGTGAATGTCATAACTTAAGAGTCGCAACACATTCCTTGTGAAATTAACTCGTGTTGATTTTATGGCTCACTTGACTCAAGATGGTCCTAATCATCTCTATCCTTTTTACGAAGCCCCCAATGGCTGTGCTAATCTTGTTTTGCAAGACCAAAGTAGAGAAATACCTCAATTGGTCAAGTTCATTCCCTTGTTCTTATTTCTTGACTTTCCCTAGCTTGTAGCTAGCCTTTCCAATAAAAAAGAAGAGAGATAATAGAGAAGTCACACTCAATTATAAATTCTTTATGTACGCATATTATTTTACTTAATCTTATTTAAGTTGTATGAATTAATATATTGATGTTAACATTTTTTTCATGGATGGTTGCTCTTTATTACTAACAGTAATTTATAAATCATTTGCTTTATTTATTATTATTGAGTATAAATTAATTTGAATTGTGATAGGATTCAGACTCGACTGGGAGAAAACTTTTTCAATCTAGTTGTTTTATTTAAAAGATTTGAATTAAAATCTTGGTTAAGAATGTGCTTCATCTTTAATTTAGAATTAACAAAGGGAATATTAGACGTGATATGTGTGCATATATGTGTTCCTTCTGCTTACACTTCTAAATCTCTATCACTAAAAATAAAAGTTTATATATAAAGTGAAACACAAGGTATATATTGAACTTCAATGTATGTTTGCGCTTTTATCTATAGTAATAATATTTGTTTTGAAGTATTGGGCGTCTTGAAAGAGTGTGTATTTATTTAGCTTTGTTATTATTTTAAAATGCAAAAACAAATTTCATCTACTAGCATTCGAGGTTGAGTATGAAGGATTTGATATTCTTTATGGAGTTCAAATATTGTAAAGAACTAAAGATTAGTGGATTGTCGTTGAATATCATATGACACTCTTAAAAAATAATTTATTATAAAAATAACTTTAATTTAATTATTGTTAAAAATGACTCTGAAGAGAAACTAAAGAAGGAAGAGATACGATTCTTCGTATAGGAAATCTTCAGTTCTGTGATTACTGTCTTCTTCATTAAGAAGTTTGTTCTATTTTGTCTTCCTCAAGCTTTCTTCTGCCTATGGTTTTGTCTTACAAATATTTTATTTATAATTATGAATTATCAATTATTAATTACCAGCTATTTATAGTGCTTAAGACTGACGCAATGTTGCTAGTTGATATTGCTAGTATTACATGGTTTTTACATATTTTATTTCGTCATCCGTTAACTATCTATTTTTTTTAAAATAAAAAGATGTTAACCCACTAGTTTTGTTTGAAAATGAGAGAATATGTGGAGTTTTACTATGATTGTCAAGAAATTCTAAGTTTGAAGAGTGAGACAATTTTGTCCCAAAAAAAAAAAAAAAGAAGTGAGACAAACTTAGGCTACTTTAATAACACTACACTACCATATGGGACATATTTCCCTAACTTGATTAACAAGAGAAGAACAAGAGATAGATTTACTTCTTGAAGAATGAAGATTGTGTGTGGGTGGAAAATGACGAGGGATTGGACAACCTGGTTTAGAATTATCCTTTTATGTAATTTTTTGTATCACTTTGTAAATTTTAGATCCTTTATTATAATTTTTAAAGCCATTCTCTATCATTTTTTAATTAATGAACGGTTGATATTAATTTTTGTCAATAATAAAGTTAGATAGTACTATATTTAAAAGTTGAAGGGAAATATTATTTAAAAAAAAAGAAAGAGTTTAGGATTTCAATCACTTTTGAACCTATAATTCAAGGGTTAATGTATTTTTTTTTTGGAAAAATAATAATTGGAGACTTCATAAGAATATTAATGACAATTAGAAACCTTGAATTATTGAAGTTTCAATAATAAATCATTATCTTTACTTATAATTAAAAAATGTGAATAGTCAATTGAAAAAGAACAATAGATATTTGAAATTATTTGCAAAATCAATTGAAAATTTATGATAATTAGTCGTGAGTTTTGACTTTTTACTGTCAACATACAAATAAGTCACTTAAAAATTTAAGAAAATACACTTGGGATCATAGTTGTCAAATTCTCGAGTTAACTTTACGAGTTTAACTAGATGTAAACTTGGTTAAACTCACGAGTTTACTTTCGAATTTATCATTTTTATATTTTTAACTTATAAAATTGTGTTCACTAATTCATAAACTTGAATTGGATGCAAGCTTGATAAAACTCGTTAAGCTCATTTTTTTTAATTGAACAAGTTAAATATATACTATAAAAAATTTAGTTCATAGAATTTATAAGACCTGATTCAAAGAAAAAAAACTTAAAATGCAAAAACTAATATTGATAAAAAAGAAAAAATACCAAAAATAAGTTTTCCTATTTTACAATTTTTATGTCTTACATATGATAATTTATCAATGTAGATGGGTGTAATTTTAATGATTTATATTTTTAGTATATTTAAATTAAATCATAATCATATTTTAACATATATTTGTTAATAGAGATAAATTCTTACAAGTTTACGATTCGAGTTTGTAATATGAGTTTACATTCCTATCATGAGTTTACTTAAACTCACAAGTTTAACAACCTTGCTTGAAATTATTTATAATATCAGTTAAAAATTTTTGAGAATTAGTTATAAATCACAAGTTAATCACTTGTGACTTTAGAAATCAACAAAAGATGCTTATGAATTTTTGCAATGTTAGTTGGGAATTTATAAAATTATATTATGAATCTTAAATCAATCAATAAAAAATAATTTATTGAAAATAAGAATCATATTTTATTACTTTAATTTTAATAATTTAAAGTTTGTAATTGTCATTAATGTTCTTAATCATACGAGACCTCTAATTGTTATTTTTTCTTTATTTTTTTTTAATTACACAAAATTTCTGTACACATTAGCCCAATGTCTACTAGATGTTGGGTGAGGCCCAAGGCCGAAACTTCTGTACACATTAGCCCAATGTTTACAAGATGTTGGGCGAGGCCCAAGCCCAAAATTTCTGCACACTTTAACCCAATGTCCACACGAAGCAGTTTATTGAAAAAAAGTTTGATGCTGAGGTTTCCTGGTAGTCTTAGGGCCTACGCAAAATTTTGAACCTACACTTTTGAGATATGACAAAAAATTCTAAATTAAGCTAATTTTCATAGGTTATAAATGAAATTTTTATAGTTTTAATAATATATATTTCTTTTGGCATAAAATATATTTAAATTGTGATACAATATACTATTATGTTTCACTAAATATACGATGATTAAATATATTTTTCCTAAATTTTCGTATATTGTATATTGATTACTAATTACATAAATTATAAGGCGAGCTCTTTTAAAATTTAGCATTAATATTTTAAATAATTGTTCATTCAAATTATTTTATATATTTAATAATTTATTTAGCAAAAGAATATATTTTATAATTTATAATATCACTATCAAATTAAAAATATGCTAGAAATCCAAGCCCCATTTTGTTATTTACTTCATAATATTCAAAATTACAGTTAAAAATTTTAAAAGTAGACTTTTTTTTTTTTTTCTACACTACATTTAAACTCAAAATCATGATTAGAAAAAACAGAAGATTCTATTGGCCAATGTTAGTTTTCAACAACCTAATTTTGTTTCATGACTTTGGTCTCCCATCACTTGAAATTCTATTTGAGGATGAAACTATCCTGCTCGGAAAAAATAATTTTCGGTAGAAACATGAAACTTCACAGTTACAAAGCATGCTATTCATTTTCTTAAAGCTGTTCCATGTTTCCAATCCTGCGCGACAATGTTGGTCGCCTTCTTCCTCGTTTCCTCCTTCACAAATCTTTTCACCTCTCTCGTTCTGTCCAATGGAAGCTTCGGGACGAATGCAAGCTTCCTCCGACCGAATTGGTCGACCGAATCTGTCGCCTCCTCGTTCTCCACCGTTTCCACGCTCTCCAGCAACTGTCCTTCCACTTTTCCGATCAGCTCATGGACTCTGTTCTCCGAAGGCTCAAACTTAACCCCATTGCGTGTTTGAAATTCTTTGAAATCGCTTGCAAGCAGCAGAGTTACAGACCCGATGTCAAGTCTTACTGCAAGATTATTCACATACTGGCTAGAGCTCGAATGTACGACGAGACAAGGGTGTTCTTGAGCGAACTGGTGATGAGTCCTTGTAAGAATAATTTTGTTTGGGATGAGATTGTTGCGGTTTATCGTGAGTTCTCGTTTTCTCCAACTGTCTTTGATATGATTTTGAAGATGTATGCGGAGAAGGGCATGACAAACTATGCCTTACATGTGCTCGATAATATGGGCAAGTGGGGTCGTATCCCCAGTTTGAGGTCCTGCAATTGCTTGTTGAGTAAGTTGGTTAAGAATGGTGAGTGTAGCACGGCGTTACTCGTTTTTGATCAGATTATGAGGTTGAATATTGTGCCTGATGTTTATATGTGTACAATTATGGTGAATGCTTATTGTGAGGAAGGCAGAGTGGCGAGAGCTTTAAGTTTTATGGAAGAGATGGAGAGGAAGATGGGATTTGAACCAAACGTTGTGACTTACAACGGTTTGATTCATGGGCATGTAAACCAGGGAGACATAGAAGGGGCAGAAAAAGTATTGAGTTTGATGTCTAAAAGGGGCATTCAAAGAAATGTGGTTTCTCTTACCTTGTTGATAAAAGGTTACTGTAACAAATCCATGATGAATGAAGCAGAGAATGTGCTTCAAGACATAGAGGAGGATGACTTACTTGTAGTGGATGAACGTGTGTATGGCGTACTAGTGGATGGGTATTGTGAAATGGGCAAAATGGATGACGCCATTAAGATCCGAGATAAGATGTTAGAAAAAGGCTTGAAAATGAATATATTTATTTGCAACTCTTTGATCAAGGGGTACTGCAAGCACGGTCAAGTTTTCAAAGCTGAGGAAATCTTTAGGCAAATACTGGATTGGAATCTAAGGCGAGATTCTTATAGCTATAACACATTACTAGACGGATTTTGCAGGGAAGGACATATAAGCAAGGCTTTTATGCTTTATGAGGAGATGTTGAGAGAAGGCATTGATCCACCAGTTGTCACTTACAATATTATTCTGAAGGGGTTAAGTCGTGCTGGTTCTTATGATGATGCTTTGTGCCTTTGGCATTCAATGCTCCAAAGGGGTGTAACTCCAAATGAGGTCAGTTATTGTACTCTGCTTCATTGCTTCTTTGAAATGGGAGACTCAGATAGGGCTATGATGCTATGGAAAGACATCTTAGGAAGGGGATTTGCCAAGAGCAAAGTTGGTTTCAATACAGTGATCAGTGGATTATGTAAGATGGGTAAAGTGGTGGAAGCAGAGGCAGTTTTTGACAGGATGAAGGAGCTTGGATGTTCACCAGATGAAATGACATATAGGACTCTGAGTGATGGGTATTGTAAGATTGGTAATGTTATAGAAGCTTTTAAAATTAAGGATGTGATGGAAAGACAAGAACTTTCTCCTTCCATTGAAATGTATAATTCTCTTCTTAATGGACTTTTCAAGTCGAGGAGGTCAACCAAAGTCATTGATCTCCTTGCTGAGATGCAGAGCAGAGGATTATCTCCTAATCTTATCACCTATGGAACCCTTATTGCTGGTTGGTGCAACGAAGGTATATTGGATAAAGCCTTCAGTGTATATTTTGAGATGATTAATAGGGGATTCTCTCCCAATTTGGTTGTCTGCAGCAAAATTGTCAGTAGCCTTTATAAGCTTGGTAGAATCAATGAAGCGACTTTCCTCCTGGACAAGATGGTAGATTTTGACCTTCTTACTGTTCATAATTGCTCTACAAAATTTCTCAAAGCTGATGTCATTAGTATAGAAACCGAGAAAATTGCTGATTCTCTTGATAGAAGTTTTATAAGCAATCATCTTCCCAAACCCAATAATGTCATGCACAACATAACTATAGCAGGACTTTGCAAGTCTGGGAAGGTTGAGGGAGCAAGAAATGTTTTATCTGCTTGGTTACTGAGAGATTTTCTTCCAGATAATTTCACATACGGTCCCTTAATTCATGCCTACTCAGTTGATGGCAATGTGAATGAAGCTTTCAACTTAAGAAATGAGATGCAGGAGAGAGGTCTTGTTCCAAATATTACTACGTATAACGCATTAATAAATGGGCTGTGCAAGTCAGGAAATATGGATAGAGCACAGAGGCTTTTCTGGAAGCTTCCTCAAAAAGGGTTGGTTCCTAATGTCGTTACTTATAAAATAATGATGAATGGGTACTGCAGAACTGGTGATTTTACTGAAGCCACTAAATTGAGGGAAAAGATGGTTGAAGAAGGGATTTGTTAATCACATGCATCGCCTTGATGGGTTACTTTGGCATAATCTCAAGCTTTGGATCAGGGTATTCTGCCGGGTTTGAAATAACCTTGTCTAACACTGATACACAATACTTCTAAATGTGAAGCAAAAATATTATATTTGCAATTAATTGTTATTACCTGAAGCCAATTTTCAATTCATTAACTTTGTTCAATTACAAGTCTGATCTTTCTGACTGTCACTATTGTGGTTTGCATTATCTTGATTATTTAAATGGTTATTGTTCTCATGATACATATGTTTACATTGACTAGGTGGGGCTGAGGTTTCCTTAGGTATATTCATATCTAGTTCAACTAGGTCTCTGTAGGAGGTCATTTACAGGGTCAAAGATGTCTATTAAGGTTTTAATAAAGAAATGCTTCTGCACTAATTATTATATTGATCCATTTTCAATGACCCTATGAGTCGTTCTTGAGTAATACTTGTGCAAATATAACAAGGGACTAAATTTGAGTATTAACATTCATGCTTAACGGTTACTAAATGAGGTTAGTTGAACTTGAGTACAAATCTAGCCACATGCTAGTTGTGAGAATTGTGATAAGAAAAAGTTTGTGCAACTAACATTACTTGCTTTCTATTATGAATTTGACAAGGAGGGAATCTATCTTGAAAGACTATCTTGTTAAGGTGGGAGAGCATTGTGGCTTATGTTCCATCTTTGGTCTTGATGTTTACTTGAAATTGATAAGAATCAAAGAATATACCGATTAGTAACCAATAGATAGAAGTTTAGGAGTTGTAATGAGATATGTTGATCATTTGGAAGGGAGATACACTTGAGTATTGGAATTTTTTCTTTATAGAACGAGTGTGATAGTTTTTTGTTTTGGTAAATTTTCAGGTTATATCATTTGGTTCTTTTATCCATCCTTCCATTGCGCTAATGGCAGAGGAGTCTCAATCATAATGTTCATCAGGAAGAAAATGTTAAAGTGCTTCATGAAGACTATACAGAATTGAAGAAGGGCACTTCCTTGCCAGGAAACAACAGATCAAAGATTAACAATGACTGGAACTTCCATACAGAATTTGTCTGCTGCTGCAACTGCTTAAAAAATGGTACCTCAATTTCATCTGTGCCTGCTCAAATATGTAGGAAGCATGATTTTTCAACAAGTGCAGACGTTGTATTTGAATAGTTCATATCGTTCCAGCAATAAATGTACAAAAAGAATGTATTTAAGAATGAGGAGATTCATGAAGATTTGGGAAGACATGGTTGCTGCTGTTTTGCAAGACTTGTCAACGAACATTTTGACTCAACAGCTTAAGCTAATTTGTGATGATCGCAAGGGGTTTTCATTAATATCTCTAGTGTGCTCCCTCAAGCAGAAGCCCTTTGAGCTTGAAATGTGGACAATGCACTGGCTCACCATGCCTCGACTGAAACTTAATTTTAATTAACGAGGGAGGCAAAAAGATCAAACTTTGACTATTGGCTCAGAGAGGTTTTATTCCATGTCAAGGACCATTTAAACTTACAAGGGCAACTACGTCTACTTTCACAACTTCAGTACCAAGCTACAAAGGCTATTTTTGTTATTAGTGGACTGAATATTGTTTTGGTCTTTTTCTCTTGGCAGCACCCTTCATGTCTCTCTTGTCACCATCAAAGATGAGCCCAGTCTATTCTCCAAGTTGGCAAGATAGTAGATTAGACTTTTCAGTTTTCAAAAACTGTGCATCATTAGCTGCACACAAGTCTATAATGTAAAAATCATATCAATTACGTTTTTAGACTCTTTTTGACTTGTTTGTAATCACACGGTCTTGACCTTGGCCATATCAATTCAAAAAGAAAGCCATATCCATTATTACAGAGATGTTTGTAGATTATAAACACCTTAGTTGATATTGTCACATCTGTGTGCAACGTCTGTTCCTCAACTTCAGAGAGATTTGGCTATAATTTTGTCCTACATGCAGGTCAAGCTCTTGGATTCAGTAAAGACTCAGTCCAAATTCTTCTTGCTTGCAGTCAGCAGAGGCATTTTTTTTTTTTTTAATGTTTTATGCTGTAATTTGACTTCACCGTTCTGCAATTTAAGTTGGAAGATGTACGACTTTCAACCCAATGAAGGCATTTAACAACTGTTGACATTATGAAGGTAATAATGTTTAACAGAATTACTTATTTCTAATTATTCTTTGGCCATAAACCAAAATGCTTATGCATATTGTTGAGTTTCTTGAACGATAGAAGAATGTGCTGCTGCATATCGTGAGCTTCGATGTGATGATTTTATTTGTTAAACCATGATTGTAGATCTTTGTTAGAAGGTGCCTTGACTTTAGGTTCCTCTGTCATTGATATAAAATATAAGTGATGGATGCTTCAATTCATATTCATGCTGCCTCGTATATTTCAGATCTATCATCCTTTGAAGAGGTCAATTCAAGCGTTTAGATTGTTGGTCTTAGTAGAGATTGGGAGATTGGATGGGTTTCCCAGTTTAGTGATAAACTGAGAAATCTAAGTAGAGTTCAAAGCGTTAGCCTTAGAGACTCTAGTAACTAACTATTTCACCACTGATAAGTTGAAGGTTGGGGTGAATGGGATGGTAAAACCTTTTTTTTTTCTTTTTAATATAGCTATCTGACTAGGTCAAAGGGCACAACACTTGAGGAAATGGTATGACTCCTGGAAATTCTTCCTTAAAACCTCAACTTTAAAGCATAGCTACCATTGACCATTCAACAAAGCACGTAACAAATCTAAGCAGAACACAATATTCAAGACAGTTCAAATCAAGGAAAATATCTGTCGTTCCCCTTTAATGAGCATGCTTCTTAATTGATGTCCTTGGATTTGAAGGTGGGGAAAATTCAATGACATATGTGCACTTCTCTTTAAAATAACAGGTCATGTTCTGAAAATCCATTTTTGTTGTTCCTATTTGGAACATAAACTGAAACCTTGAAGTTACTAATATTTGTGTCCTTTGCTAGCTATAATTATTGTTTGTAAAACCTCTCAAGAACACAGCATATATGAAATCTCGCCTTTTTTTTCCCCTCTTTCAGTTCTTCTTGACAGATGGATTTACAGTGTTGCATCATGTGCACTAGATCAAGAATTTTGGAATTTGGATTCCTCTACTAGATCAAGTGATGATCCACTGCTAGGGAGTGTATATGAGACCCACTTGATCTCTTTCTATCGACTCAATTCTCTCTCTCTCTCAGTTAATAGGTATTATACAATGTTATAACTTTAAGATTCAAATTCAAAATTTCATTTTCTATTTCGTATGAATCTTTGATTTTTTTTCTTCCATCTGTATGTCACAATGTTCAACCCAAACCCATCCCAGTCACTCAACCATGTTTACAAGCGAGCCCCTTAAAGTATTTGTTATCCTTTACTGTCTAAAATTCTAAATTGCATTACTGTAACTTATTTATTAGACTGTATATTATGCAGATTATAAAAGAATCCTCCACCGCAGCTATTGCATGTGGACTTGACAAGAAAACTACCACCAATCTTTGATGAGAATAATGTTCAGATCTACAACAGTTGAGGTATATTCTTTGTCTTTGACTTCTGTTTCTGCGGATATAGAACTTAAATTCAACATTGTAGACAGGGTGGTTGTTAGAGGCAACGTGTAGCTGTTGTTTCAGGACGAGGAATTGCGAGAGAATGTTATGTTTGGTACATTAGGTTTGAATGGAAATAAAATAGAAAAAAGATGGATTATGACTATGATTCTTGTATCTTTAGAAAAAACAGATTACTGATAAATGATAATAGGATCTGTTATACTGTTTTACAGTTTGTGTTTGTTGAGAGTTTTATAATTATATAGATATCTAAGATAAAAGCATGACAGAATTTGGATGAGGAAAAAATAGTTTTTTTCTTTTTTGGGTTCCGTGATTGTTTTGCCTTGCTGATTTCCTTTAGTTGTCGTATCAATCTACCAAGCTTTGTACTTTCAAAAAAATTAAAAAAGGTTTAATTGGGTTGTATTTCAGCCTTCTGGGACTCATTAATTATTTGACGGTTCAAAAAGCTTTTGTAAATGTATAATTAATTATTCTTCAATGAACTTCTTATATTAGCATCAAGATTCGAATTAACGCTACTATGGAATACCACATAAGTAGCATCTTTATCAACTAGATAAGTTTTGTTGGTTGGCTTCATTGTATTTTCAAGGCAGTCCTTTATATATATCTATAGAGGATTCAATAAAATCTTTTTGCGCAACTGTTGTATATCATTAACGAAATCACGAGTTAGAAGCTAATCTTGGGGAACAATTGAGCACAACCTGCAATGTTGAAGATATCAACTTGAATATGATTGTTTCTTTAATTTTTTTTAATCAATTTATGATGAATTTATAATTTGTAATTTAAGTAATTCCGGATTTCGAGTTTAGAGAATTGGATTTTGAAATATCCGTAATTCAATCAGAACTTTATTTTTCTGTGGTAAAATCCATTACCGAGGAAAGAACTTGATGCCAAACAAAGTCTAAATACACCTACCAGTAATTATAATATTTAGAAATAGATAATGGCCAAAAATTCGACATATTATTATTTATAATTTTTTATAAGAGTATAGAATTCGTTCATCTGCCTTGTGCAAGCATAGGAGAATAATTAGGTAAGGATAAGCATTAAACCACTGAATTGGAGCATTCTTAATATTTAATTCAATGTCATGTTGTGTTGTGGGATGTGGATGACGATTGGTGAACGAACTTTATGAACCAAGTATCAAATCAATATTTATAAATATCTGGCATAAAACACTAAAAATAATTATAAATAACACAGTTTTTTAGGCTTCATACAATGCATGAGATTGAGACTGACCTAAAAAAAAAAAAACTCCCCAAAAATAACAATAATAAGATTCATACCATATTATCATTTATCAAGAAAGTGGACTATTCTCACACAGACAATTTTTGTTTTCCTCCTATTCATAGGCTACATTTATAATTTTTTTAGGTCCATCTTTCCTCTTTTGTCCTTATTAAATATTAAAAATGTATATGTTATTAAATATTGGAGTATGTTATTTTTAAACCATGTACTCCCTCAAGTCTCTCATCCCTATTACAGGGGAGCCTTTTAGAAGAATTTTTAGGTTCAATATTAATTACATTTTTTAATATTATTCTTATTTAAAATCATTGGTTATGAAAATAAAAGAAATATAAATTTCAGAATTTTTCATTTAAATTTGGGTAAAATTAGAAGTTTATTTTATTTTCAGATAAAATTAATAATTTAATTATCTTTTTTTAAATAAAATAGTCAAAAATATTTTATAATAAAGACAGACAAAAAAAAGGATACAATGATATTTTTGTTACTATTGTTGTTGTGCTATATCAATTTCAAACTTTAGTCAACACTAAAAAAAAAAATTCGTGAACCCTTGTCCATTCCTTCGCATTAGGGAATATTGATTCAAACAAAAGATGCATGAATGGCTCCAATGATATGCAGCACAAAATCTTGTTTAGGACACCTGGCAGATATATCTTGATTAAAATATTTTTATGCGTCTCCTTGTAAATGTTGAGTTATTTTTTTGGCCAAGTTAAATCTTGACTTATGGATAACGCTAAACTGTTAAATATGTTAATGTTACGTGTTGGTGTAATATTTAGTAGATGATGACCAAGCAAAAGAGTTGAATTAAATATTAACTGAATTCATGTTTTTTTTATAATCCATTATTCATGAACTATGCCAAATAAGATCACTTTAGTAGCAAAGCTAAATTTATGTTTAGGTTAAAATAACTAATAACATGATAATTAACTAGTTTATGAATAATATCTATAAGTAATTATTAAAAGTTGACTGAGAAAATTATTCAGTTAATCATATCATAAAAGAATTAATTAATTAATTATCTTGGTAGAATTATTTAATTTCTTCTCTCTCTCCTCTTATTATTTTTTTGGCCACCACTCTCTCCCCACTATATTATTATTATTATTACTTACTATTACTACTACTATATTATTATTAAACTAATTTTTAGGATTTTGAGATGTATTTTCCCACCTAATGCCTTCTCCTCTGGGGATTTTGATCCATCCCCACATCAATACGTCATGAACAATGCAGTTGATTTATAAACAACACATAAGATGAACACTAATTATAATTATACTTATAAGTAAAAAAAAAGTTGTTAAAATCACTTTTTGCATGATAATTAAGAAAACTTGATTTGTGACTTTAAAGTTAAGAATTCCATTGATGATTTACAATTTTTATATTTTATCTTTAATTGTTAGATTGTTTAATTGTAGTACTATAGATATTTCCAAGTTAATAATTAACTATTAGTTATAGTTATTTGTTATTTATTTATAAATATAAAATTAAATCATATAAAAATAAATGGGTTGGTGTTTCATCAATGTACTCCCCCCATTAAAAAATATAAGACATTTTTAATTAAATTTGACTCCCAATAAAGTAGTTACTTACTTTAAATTAATTTTATAATTTTATATTTATCTCTATTAAATACCCTGCAATAAATATAAAGTCATTATCAATAGGAACACTTTTGAAAAAAAAAACAATGATTACACTTCAAAAGATTAAAAATGTTTTATATTTTTTAACATCCAACTCCTTAAAAATGTCTTTATATAAAACAGTTATCTACTTTCAAACTAACTTTATTTTTTTATATTTACTCTTATTAAACACTATAATAAATATAAAGTCATTCATCAATGGGGGCACTTTAAAAAAACAATGATTATACTTTAAAAAAATAAAAATATTTTATATTTTTAAACATCCAACTTCTCAAAAAATACTTTTTATTTTTTAACGAAAGGAATATATATTTTCTTATTATTCAGTAATTCATTTGATTCCTTGCTATATGAGAGATACACACACTAATATGTATATATATTGACTTAACCTGTACTCCTATACATTACTCTATTCTCTATATATTAATATGTGAAATGCACATAGAAAATCTAACATCTAAATTAAATTTGTTACTCTTTTTATTTAAAAATATAATATATTTTTAATAAAATTTTAACTATCAATAAAGTAGTTACTTACTTTTAAATTAATCCTATTTTTTCATATTTACTCCTATTAAATATCTTATAATAAATATAAAGTTATTTATTAATAGAAAAACTTTTAAAAATAAGGCAATGATTATACTTTAAAAAATTAAAAATATTTTACATTTTTTGATATCAAACTCTTCAAAAAATATTTTATATTTTTAAATGAAGGGAGTATTTTTCACTTATATCTTTGTATTTCTTGGGGTTATATATACATATATCAAAGTCGCATATTACATCTCAGGAAGAAAAATTGCATATTGCTTATATTTACATATGCAACCAAAATATAAAAAATTATAAAGTTCAATGTCAAACTAATTTTTTGATCAAAAGTGTCAAATTAATTTAATCATCATTTTTTTATAAAAATTTATTCTGCATGATTTAATTCTATTTATTATCATGCAATTTTGTATCCTCGCTATTATTGGCTTATTGCATTGAGCTCTCAGCACCCTAAAAAATGGTCAGGGCAAAGAAAAAGCTTCAAACTTAGGTGTAAAGATTCAATTTTGAGAAACAAAATTGATGATGCGAACATCAAATTTGTCAGAGTGATTCCCAAATCAAACTCCAAAAGAAGTTACCATCAGTTTGAGGCTTTGAGCACAAATTGTGGTCTCTCCCAGAAAACTTTAAAAAATAAAAATTACGAGTACTGAGAGAGAAAAGAAGGTGGGAGTGAGTGAGAAGAGGTTTTCGGCTTTTCGCCCTTTTTTTTGGCGCAGAGCGTGAGGGAGAGTTAGCTTCGGTTTCATCATCTTCTTCTTCTGCGTCGTGCGGCCTAACCCTAGAAAGTACCGTTGTAAGCGAGCCCTCTGGGGCGTTCGCAGATCTGGGTTTGGTCACAGAATCAGAGGGGAGGGTCAGGGAGAGGGGGGAGGAGTGGAGGATGAGTGGCAAAGGCGGTGGAGGCGGCGGCTCCGGCAATGGGAAGGGAAGTAATGGGTTAGCGGGGGTCCCGGCAGCTTCCAGGAAGATGGTACAGAGCTTGAAGGAGATTGTCAGTAATTTTCCTGAGCATGAGATCTACGCGATGCTTAAAGAGTGTAATATGGACCCCAATGAAGCTGTCAGTCGCCTCCTATCCCAAGGTTCGATCGGTCAATTATTCATTTTTTTTCTGAGTCGTGTTATTGGGTTGAAAAAATGTTTGTGTGTGTGTGTGTTTTTTTTTTTTTTTTTGGTTTTTGTTGAAAAGTAGTAATTGTTTGCTGCATAGTTGTTTGGTTTCATATGGACTTGAAGGGAACTAATCTTAGTACTTCTCGTGGTGTCTCGTCTTCCGGGTGACGTTAACTGGTATTGTGTAGGCCACTTGGGAATTAGTTGAAATTCGAAAAATTAAAAAGAAGTCTGCTTTCTGAACTTTAGGTTCCCATAACATATGTTTAGTTTTAGTAGCACGTGTGTAGGTTTGGATAAATCATTCCATAACCTATGCTTTAATACATGGGCTGTATCTTTGCAGCATGACCTATAGATTTTGCTATCCTCCTTCAAATGACTTCTAATTGCCTTGGCCGGTTCCTAATTTCCCATGAATCATGTGTTGCTTTAAGTTTTCTTTCTTAGGTTTCCTTTCTCAGTTGGAGTTTTCAGTGAGGCTTCTGTTACTCTCAATCTCATTAAATAGGAATCGAATCACTCCAAGGAACAAATTCACTCGGCACGTGTATGGTTTTAGGGCTTTTGTTTAATCTCTTTATAGTTGATGCAACATGGGTTTCCTTTTGAATTCTCTGGACTTTTGATGTTGATTTGGTACATAATAAATTAGAGATATGGTGGTCGGAAGAATGGTGAGATATTGCATGCGTAAAATAGTTAGGTGTTTAAATTTATTTCTAATTTCCAGCTTATCAATTGTGCAGATCCTTTTCATGAGGTGAAAAGCAAACGAGAAAAGAAAAAAGAGGTGTGTCTTATGTGTGAAACATACATGCTATGTGTACTCTACTACTCTTCAGAGTGGAATTCATATTTGATGAACAAGTATTTTTCATAGATCTTGAATTTGTTTCATGACTAAGGGGCTTATGTATTGCATAATGCATGTGTCTCTTATGTTTTAAATTTTAGTAGGCACAAAAAATGTCCATGTTCCCTGGTCAATTTCTTGTGATAAAAAATAGTAGTTAAATAATATTCTTCAAAATAACCTCACTAAACATACAATAATATTGTTTCATTTCACGTATCACATGGGTTATATTTATGTCTTTTGTCAACAGATGGTTATGAATTACTTAATCTATCCATTTAATTAATGCTTCTATTTTCAATGTGATGTGATTATTTTTACTTGTTTCTGTTGCTGCATCAGAATAAGGACATACCTGATTCCAGGTCTCGTGCAACAAATTACGCATCTAGTCGTGGTAGTAGGGCTGGCACAGATCGGCGTGCTGGCACAAGTCAATTCAATAGCAGTGGCACTGGTATGTGTGGGATAGATCTTCCCCCATGCCACTGTCTTATATGCCTTCAGTCTAATATTTCTGTCAAATTTAAAAAAGTATCTAAGCTGCAATTTTTTTTCCTTTTAAAAAAGTTTTCTCCTTCTCTTTTGGAGATCAGATTCTGGTCTCCTGCAGGGGAAACCTGTATACAAGAAGGAAAATGGAACAAATGCCCCTGGAGGTCCTATGTCTTCTTCTAGCATTTTGGGGAATAATGTGAACTGGCGGATGCCATCCCACAGGTTTTGTTTCCTTTATATCCATACACTCAAATACATTTGCATGTGTTCATGCGCGTGTGGGGTGAGAGGGGCATGCATGTTTTACACTCTTACTAGCTATTTTCACTTCATTTGTTTAATTAGTATTTAGTTATCATATTCCTGTCCATCCACTCTGTCTATTTCTTGATGATTCTACTTTCATCACATGCGCACTTGTTGAGTTTTGAGAATATTGAACGTCTTGTAAGGAATCTAATAAAGACCTAAGGTATCTCATATGAATTACTTGTGGCTTCCAGGTTGGGATTCTATCAGAATCTTACTAAACATGGACTGATCTGGTTGGAATTTTAGTATTTCTTTAATTCTCATATGTAACTTATACGTTACAACTGTAGAATTATAAATACATAATATCATTTAATTAAGTCCTAATGTAGCTGGCCTATTTGCTGCTCCTTTTTCTCTCGGCCATCTTGGTGACATGAGTGATTATTTCTCTTTTTTTAATACAGTATATTTTAAATTATCAGAATATTTATTTTCCTGTTTACCTACGTTGATTTTGGTTTGTTTGATTCTTCTAAAAAACAAGCGTTTAAAAAAGCGTCCAACTTTTACTAGCTACAAAGTATGTTTAATTCTTTTTATTGAGTTATACTTCGTTCTCATTTTCAAACTCCTGTTGCGTTTTCTACTATCTATTCTCTGAATCGCTTTTGGGTTCTGTTCTACTGAGTTTTTGGAAAATGACTATTGAGGAAAAGATAGGTCAAAATGGGCGGGTCAGGGTTTGATATTTATTTTCTTTTAATGTAACGTTGTAGCTCCTCTTTATTACTAAAAGCAAAATTATATAAAATAAATAATCAAAAGTCCTGAATTATTTGGCTAGTTAAGGCTATTTTCTGTCCAGCTACTCTTGAGTGATGATTGTTTATCTGCCTACTTTGACTGTGCCTGCCAATGCATTGACTCAAAAACACTTTGTTGTTAATATGTTGCCAAGCTAGAGGTCAAATGATGTATAATAAAATTGTTGCAGTGATTCTGTGGCAACTGAAGCATGTGTGAGTGATGGACCATCTTCATCACAACATGGGGGAATGCAATCCGGATGGATGGGGTTCCCAGGTCAAGTATCAATGGCTGATATTGTTAAGATGGGTAGGCCACAGGCCAAAATATCCGTGCTTAATTCTTCCATTAACAGTAATAGCCATCACAATGTTTTGTTACCTCCATCTGCATCACATCAGAGTCAGAGTCTGCACTCATTGCATGTGTCAGAGGCAAATGCTGATCAAGGCTTTTCTATTAGCCATGATGTTTGTCAGAATGAGGAATGGCCTTCTGTTGAGCACCAATCAGCTTCTAATGCTTCCTCTATTGTTGATGTTCTTCCAAATTCTGAGTACTATGGAATCTCAACGAACTTGGATGAAGCTAATCGGCAGCAGAGGTCCCATCTAGAAGAACGTTTAGTTGAAGATGCTCCTCTTGAGGCTGCAGACAATGCTGTACCTGCTTCTATTTCTGCTAGAAGTATATCTGACGATAATGCTGGAGGTGCATCTGTTTTTGATGATAACTTGTACAAGGATAAGAATCCCTACCAACCTCAAAGGCATCCTTTTAGTAATGATGAAGGTTACCAGGAGGCTACAAACTTATTTACCATTCTTTAAATTTGTCTTCCATCTTTATTTGTCTTGAACATATATGTTCGCCATTAAATGTTTTAGTGGTACCTTAGAGTGCATATGTATTGAATGGAGTATTGAACTGTGGTGATATTCGAGCACTCGTACCACCAGTTGGATATGCAATAAGTCTTTGAATTTCATTTTCTGAAAGCATCCTTTGTGCATACTACATGTCTGAAAAAAATACTCCCAGGGTTTTCTTGAAACACAAATCACAATGTTATGTTGTAATATTGGCTATTGCTTTGATGAGACTATTTGAAACAGCTACTATTCTCTAGGTTTGCTCATTTTTTGTTAATTCCTCTCCCTCTTGTGTGAATGATTTGGAAGGGTATTTTTGCATTACTTGTTCACTATTCAATGTCATCTTTGCTTGTTAGAGCCATGCCTGTTTAGGGGTTCTCTCAGCTTTACTTCTAATTGCTTTCAGCAGCAGAAGGTGTTTCCTCAATGTCCGCACACTTGGAGCAGCTAAGTTTACGGAAAGATGATCAGGTGGAAGATTCAGAGGAGGAAAATGATTCTGTTGTGATTCCAGATCACCTACAACTCCACAATCCAGAATGCTTGAATTTGAGCTTTGGAAGTTTTGGATCTGGAACAAATGCTGCCTTTCCTTCTGGGCCATACGCATCTAGGCCTGTGAGAAGCAACTCTGAGGAGACATCTGCGGCTACTGATGTGGCAACAATTGGTCCCTCAGATTCTAGGTATGTTTGTATATGATCATATATGGTGCTCAATTTTATGATCATTCATAATTGCTTCATATTTTTCTTACAGGCATTCTGATTATTATGAGGATGAACATCTCACTAGTGCCTCTGATGGAAACTTAGTTCAAAGGACTGATGTCAGTGCTGGGCCTTATAATTCTCCTTCCATTTCACAGCCAGAGGTGTTAAAACCAGAATCCCCCCCTGAAGCTGATCAGGGGAATCAATATTCATTCCCTTCATCTTCACATGGGTTTACTTATGATAATAGCCAACAACAAGATGTCCCATATTCTCACTCACAAACAAACTCACAGATACAGAACCTTACCCCCTTCTCAAGTGTCATGGTAATACAGAGTTGTAGATTCTTAATTACATAATGTTGAATGTGTTCAATCACTGGGTCTTGATTCTGGTTTTCAATGAACGAGAGTTGGTTCTGTAATGATGGAGGAGTGATTTTCAGTGAGAGGTTAGAGGCTTAACTAACCACCACTAGACAATTGTTCTAGATTAATGCAAAAATCTTCCTAAATGTTTACTGAAAATTTTCATTGACTCACATTGACAACCTGGTATTAATCTTGAACAATCTTTTGCGATCTAATGGTGATTGGTTACTTATCTCATTGGATATGCCTCACATGCATGTGCACATAAATTTGCCTTTTCAGTTGCTTTACTTTATTTACTTGTTTGCAATGTACCTTACCCTTCCTAGTTCCTAGAATACACTTTATAGTTGTTTTGCCCCATCAAACTATGATGTGATGATGCCAATTTTCATATGCAGCTCGCATAGTATTACCATTCGATATGTAAATTTTTTTTTTATTTATTCTCTATCAGTATCTAACAATGTTGGTACCTTCATCTAAATTTAGTATTCAATTATATAGCAGGGTTATACAAATTCTTTGCCCGGTGCTTTGTTGGGTTCAACTGTTCAAACGGCAAGGGATGATATCCCTTACTTACCTTTCCCAGCAACACAATCACTGCCTGCAAAATATAGCAACATTGCTTCTTCGATTGGTGGTTCCACTATTTCCACGTCTGAGGTGCACTTCTACTCTTGCAGTATTGTTTTGAGCTTCAAATATTTGTTTGCTTGAATTTGATAGTGGTGTATTGGTATTTTAACAAATTTGTTTGACAATATAACCACATCTAACAAGGGATTGCAAATGTCACAAAATCTACCTGACTGCTGCTATTTTTATCTGCATTGAAAAAAGCTTTATTGCAAAGAAAGATACCAACCATCATTTCCAATAAAATATAATGTAAATTAAAATGACAAAAAAAATGACAGTTCGTGCAATGGCCCAATGGCAATATGCCCTCGATAAGATACCAAAATCCAAAACTCACATCAAGAGAATGACATCCAGGCAAGGAAATGAGCAGGAAAGAGGCATAAGGGGAATGGTTAGTGAAGCTGGGCAGTTTCTGGACATGAGAAAAGTAATAAGAGATAATAAGGAAGCAATTACTGACTTGTCACCTAGAGAATAGGGGGTGATGGCTGCACGATTAGAGCCAATGATTCACCACTTTGCATGATTATTGTTTAATTAATATAATTTTAATTGTTAATTCCTAGTTGCATAAATAGTTGCTTTAGGAGCATAGGTGGTAGCCTTTGATTATCGCGTGTGTTGGAGATTCTCCTTCTTGGATAATTAGAGTATTATGTTTCAAGATCCTTGCACCTATGGCTCTGATACTATTCTTGGTTTTATTTGTTTTATGACTTAAGGTCCTTGATCATATATTTATAGTGTCTATTAAAGATTCTTTCCCTTCTTTTCACTTAATGTCCTAATCTTACATTCTATCATCCATCCCGGCTCAAACCTGTCTACTTGGGCTAGGTTGAATACCCCAAGGCTAATCATGAACCCATGACATGCCATGAATACAGAACTGCATATTCCTTATTAAGTGCCCTATGAGACAATTTAAAATATGAAGATTCAGAATTCAGTATGCATATAACACATAAAGAGATAAAGCTGTACTTTGTTTTTTAAACTTGCAGCCTGTCATATGTTAAACCTGTAGAGTAATTGCACTCCAAACAAATGACAAGATCTTATAAGACTATAATAATTAAAGGAAGACGAGGAAAAAGAACCAGAAGGATTGATTACGAGACTAAGTTAACCTATCTGCATCGAAGGAAAGATGTATGGTCAGAATCTAGGTTAAATAGAAGGGAAGTAAAAGCCCTGAACGAGTCTCACCCATTCCTTATTCCTTAATAATTGGAATTCCAAGAGACAAATAGGGTCCTGACAAGAAGAAAAAGGTTCTGGATAGAAGCATTATGTGAAGAGAATGAATTGGAAGGCATGGTGAGGCCTTAAAGAAACAAACCCTGTTTAGTCATCCCCCAACATCTGATGTGACTTTTGTTGTCAACATTGGTGGTCAAGTGGAGTTGTGAGATGATATACTGGTGTTCATGAAAGGTAGTTAAAACTAAAGAATATAACACAGTTTTACTTTTGGACTGAATGATTAATGATCACCTGTCAGTTCAGTGTCAATGTAAAAGCTTTGCAGGTCTTTGTAAAATTGTGTTATCTGTGTGGAAATAATATATAATTTTATGTTTATTCAATGAGTTAAGAAATTGCAGCGGACGTGAAATATCAGATTTTGGAGTTACTTTGTGTGTTTGGTGTAATGTAATTCCTTCTATCTTGCTTTTATGCCATTTTATGCTGGTGATGTGCCTGTGATGAGGTATAATATGATTTAATATGTACAATAGCTGCAAAGGAGTTGCGTGCTGAATTTTTGATATTATGCCAATACTGATGGACAAGGCTGCTCATTATACGTGTAATGAATTATCTTTTTGATTGAGGGTAATCTCAAGAATGCAGTAATTTGATAAATATCTGGCTGTGCAGACTTTAAGAGCAAGTAGCATTTCTACACCTCAACCAAATTCACAGACTTTGCCAGGTGCCAGCGTTGCTACTGGTCCTTCACTTCCTCAACACTTGGCTGTGCATCCATACTCTCAACCAACTCTTCCTTTGGGACATTTTGCTAATATGATTAGCTATCCATTCTTGCCGCAAAGCTATACCTATATGCCATCGGCTTTTCAACAGGCTTTTCCTGGAAATGGCACATACCACCAGTCACTAGCAGCAGCGCTTCCCCAGTATAAAAGCAGTGTTTCTGTCAGCAGCTTGCCTCAATCTGCTACAGTTGCATCTGGATATGGTTTTGGGAGTTCAACCAGCATGCCCGGGGGAAACTTTCCTCTGAATCCACCTGCTGCCCCTACAGGTACAACCATTGGCTATGAAGATGTTATAAACTCTCAGTTTAAGGACAACAATCATATGATTTCCCTACTGCAGGTAAGAGGAGCTTCACCTCAAAATGCTCTACTCTTAGTTTTTTTTTTTTTTGAATCCATTATTGCTATAGCAGTTTCTCCGAGGAGTCTCATGTCAATACTGAATAGCTAACATCATATGTAACTGTTGATCATTTTCAAAGTTTGAACGTCTCATTTTATTCCTGGATGAAGTATTTTGTCTTAAATAGCATCCTCACGTTAAGCTTATTAATAGAGATGAGTGACGAGCTATCAAGAAGCTAATATGGCTATCGAATGCCCAGTTATCATTAAAAACATGTCATGATGGAGCATCAAAGTTGAAGGATGCCATGACAATGGATGATGGCTGTGGTACATGTCATGTCATGTTTTTCAGTGAGGGCGGGGCACTTAAATGACTGCATTTGCTTCACATTAAGCCACATCACTTGTCTGGATGCACTTAACTGGACAATATTGGAGATTAAGTTCTCTTCGGAGAATTGAGATGAGATGTTCAAACTTGGAATTATTTTATTGAAGGAGTATATCTTTTGAGAACCAAAATTTTGAACTTATAAATTTAGATAGCTGAAAGAAAAAAGGACGTGGAATTGTGGCACTTTCTTTGGCCTTGATGTGAATCTAAGTTGGGTTTTGTTTGTTATTCTGCTAGAATGAGAATTCTCCTATGTGGGTTCATGGACCTGCCTCTCGGACGATGTCTGCAGTTCCAGGCAGCACATATTACGGCTTCCAGGGACAAAATCAACAATCGAGCGGATTCCGGCAAAGCCAGCAGCAGCAACAGCCATCACAGCATTTCGGACCTCCCGGCTACCCAAACTTATATTCTCAGGCAGGCATTTCTTTGGAACACCACCACCATCAGCAGCAACAGCATAATGCAAGGGAAGCATCACTTGGTGGTGTTCCTCAAGGCCCTCCTCAAGCTTCCAAGCAATCTCAGCAGCTATGGCACCACAGCTACTAATCACAAATTAACTCCTGGTTTTTCAGGGTCTTGAAAGTAGCCAATGCAAGGCAATTCTACGAATTAATAATTGAAATGTATCATCATTTGGTCTCAACAGACCTTGACTGGCTGCTGCCCTGTACCACGAGGTCCTCATAATTATGGTCGTGATGTTTAACGTAGTTGCAAGTGTGCTAATTTGGTTTTCTCAGTACATTTGCTTTTTTATCCTTTAGATGTTCCCTCTCGTTTGGAAAGTTCAGGTTATGCTCTTTTTGTGTGGAAAAGAAAATAGTATACACTATTCTCCTAAACTAAGACTTGAATTATAATTTTTATACACCCACCCTAAAATATACCAGAACATCTTGTTTTGAATTTGGGGGGTTGAACAGACAAAAGACTGTAACAATCCATTCCTTTACTCAGCTAAACCTTTTCACAGCTTTTCCTTCTGTACTTTGTTATCCGTTTTGAGTGATTTCCATTAGCATTCAAGTTTAACGAAGTTGAAGATTCGGAAAATAGGTGAATTAGGGCGTTTTCTCTTTTTAAACTGTTTATTTTTTGAAGACAAAAAATTTAAACACTTGTTCAAATAAGTGTTTTGGATTTAATTATTTCCAAAAATGTTTTCTTTTTCTTTAAAAATAAAAAAATAAAAAACAATTTTAAGTTTTTTTATTTCTTATTTTCCTAATACATTATATTTGATTATTGACAATTATAGTTAACTTGACTAATTTTTATAATAAATCATTACTATTAACTACCTATAATAATCACTATCAATTTATTTTTTTAATTATAATACTGTTTTTAAATTAATATAACTAAACAAATTTCATTTTATTTTATTTTGAAAAATAATTCTGAAAACTATTTTATAAATTATTATTTTTTTAAAAAAACGAAAGCAGAAACCAACCATGCCCTTAGAGATTGTAATTACTTATATGCCATAAACAAGAGTTAGTAGTAGAGTTTATTTTGATATTTTAAGATTTCAGATTTCCGTGCGTGCATCATTTATTAGTTTTTTTGTTTTTGTTACCCGAACTACCCTATAGTTAAATTTTTGTTTTGCCAAATCATCATATTCGGCTTGTGGATCATTTAGTTGAGATATTTTAAGAATATCAATGCACATATTTTTTTACACGACCAACTTACTTAATCTTATTTACACGACCAACTTACTTAATCTTATTAATCTATGTGAATTATTTATAATATCCATGCACATTTTTATAAATAATTAACTTATTTAGTTTTTTGAAATCAGTTATTTGAATATGTGGATTGGTTAACTAACACATAGGACATGAAGAAATATTTATCAATATCAGTTATTGATTAATATTACTATAAAAAAATAAAAGCAATAACAGGTCATGTTATTTTACAAATTGTGAATGGGTTAATGAGCAAAATAAATCCTGAAATATTGCCTGAAAAACACTTTCAACTCTGAACTTTTAAAATGTGTAAAATAAATTTTAAACTTTTTAAATTTGTAGTAAAATGAACCCTAATTGTTAAATTTTTTAATGCCATTACTGTTCATGTGGTATTGTTCATATGTGGGCCCCAGTTAATGCTAATGTGTCATTGTCAATTATCACTACAAATTCTAAACTATTATGTTAGTAGTGCTTTAGACCTTAAACTATTATATTAGTAGCGTTCTGAATCTTAAACTTTAAAATTTTAAGCAAATTACCCTCACCGTTTATGTATAAAATGTTGACTATTATATAGACCAAATTAACCTCCACATGGTTTGTCATGGTGAATGTGTCGTTAGTTGTGGCGAACGATTCATAATTTTGTGAAATGACATTTTTGCCTCTTTTTTTTGTAATATTTTCCAAACAATTGGTATCTAATGCTTCCATATACTCTATAATTTTAATTTAATATTATTTTAAATATAATGGTGAAAACTTAGAATCCCATTTGGAAAAAAAAATTAAATATTAGATAACTTTAATTAACTGATTAATTTGAGTTCTAAATTCATTGATGAAATAATCAGCTTTCACATCCATCGTCTGTAAAATCCTATGATACTTAAATTTTTTTTTTAAAATGAGATCCTAAATTTTCACTATTGAATAAAGAAACATTATTCAAAAATAAGATTAAATCAGAGTTATAGAGTATACAGAAACATGAGATATCAATCATTTGGAAAACATTACAAAAAAAAAAGAGGCAAAAATATCATTTCAAAAAATCATGGGTTGTTTGCCATGGCTAATGATGCATTCACCGTGGCAAACCATGTTGAGGCTAATTTAATCTACATAATAGTCAATGTTCTATACATAAATAGTGTGAATAATTTACTTAAAATTTTAAAGCTCAAGGTTCAAAACTTTATTAACATAATAGTTTAAGATTTGTGATACTAATCGACAATGACATGTTAATGTTAACTGGGGCCCATAGATGAACAGTACCATGTGAACAGTAACAACATTAAAAGAAATTAACGGTTAGGGTCCATTTTGCTATGAATTTAAAAGTTTAAGGTTTAATTTGCACATTTTAAAAGTTTAGGGTTAAAGGTGCTTTCCAAGCAATACTTCAGGATTTATTTTGCTCATTAACCCTTTATGAATTATATGGTTCATTTTTTACAGGGTTAATAAGTGAACAGAACCCTAAACTCTTGTTTGAAAATCATCTTAGACTCTAAACTCTTAAAATATATAAAATAAACTCTAAACTTTTAAATTTATAATAAAACAAACCCTGACCGCTAACTTTTTAACACCATTATTGTCCACGTAGGTACTGTGATAGTCATGGTTAAATTCGTAAAAAAATAAACTCTAAACAGTACTTGTGTGGACAGTAATAGTTTTTAAAAAATTAGCGGTTATCATTTATTTTGCTATAAATTTAGAAGTTTAAAGTTTATTTTACATGTTTTAAGAGTTCAGGATTCAGGGCAATTTTTGAGCAATAATTCAGGATCCTATTTGCTCATTAACCTTTTTAATGGACTTTCTTTGGTGGAGGAGGTGTACAATGAAGTTGTCTAACTGGATTGAAGTGATAAATTGTCAAAAAAAATGCAAGTTTTTAAGTTGGAAACCTAACTTAGTAACTTATACTCCCTCCATTTAGTATTATAATGTATTTTTTAAATATCATGTTAAAAATATAAGATATTTTAAGTCTTTCAAGATATAATTACTAAATTTTTTTCAAAAATGCCCTTAATTTGAAGGTGTAAATAAGAAGCATTTTTTAATCGAGAGTCCTATTAAATCAAAGTAAATATGAGAAGAATGTGTAATTTTAAATGTCATTCACTAATTAGTTTTTGAATCAATGGAGTATTTAGTTTTTGAATTATTGAGTAAATGAATAACCAAGAAAATTCTACTTTCCAAATATTCATGTTTTTAACATTAAAGAATAATATATTTTATTTAGAAAAATAAAGAAAGTTTAACATGCCCCTATTTCCATGCTTGTGTTCTCTTTTTGTTTGTGACCATAAATTTATATTTAAAATATTTACATATTGAAAAATAAAAAAGTAGTTTCAAACACTCGTCTAAACTATTTTCCATGAATTTTTGAAGTTTATTTTTTTTCTTAAATATGTTATCTCAATTTTTCTAAATGTACTATCTCCATCATATTGGATATAACATAACATATTAGATTAGTGTATAATCATTGAAACATCCTAAAAAATTAATTGCTAATTAGCTAAGTTAAAGGTTAATCAAGTGAACTAATATAGTGTGTGATTACAGAGAGCTAATGGTTGTTTTGAATTGCGATTTCAGCTCTAGGATTGAGTTCGGAGTAGAGTTGAGCCACCCAAACCTTGAAAAGGGGAAAAAACAAGGAGGAATGGCTTTATGCCATATGGCTGTGGCTCACGAGTCACTCGAACATGCAAATTTTTATGTGTATCATATGTCACGGTGCATGTGGCGGGTGTCGTGACACGTGATCGAGAATCTATAGAAATAAAAGTGTGAATTAAACTCAAAACAAAAAAGAAACGAAAGAGGAAATGAAGTGTAAATGCCCCAAGAGAAGGTGAATTGGGCTAAATGAATTGCAGTAATGATAAGTGAGATGAGAGAACGAGTTAGATGAATAAAGCTTGGCATAAGTGATTTATCCTGATTCGACTCCTATCACTTGAGTCTACGTCTAGTCCCCAGGAACCTCTTGAAATTTTTAATTATATTACCAAGATTAATCTGAGCTATTGATTGTCTCAGTACATTAACAGACTTCTCAATAAGTTTGAAACTCTCCCTCTTACAAAGGTAATGATAAATTTCTTTAAGTTCCTTGAGCTTAAGTTCCTCTAATTTGAAGATGTAAAGCAAGGATAAATAGAGTAAGTTCAAGAATGAACTATTATTGCTTTTAAACTCTCTTTAAGAGTAGATATATAATCAATGAAGTTCTCTATCAATAAATGATACACAAAAGGTAGGTAAACTTTAATTCTCAGATAAATGCAGAATGTTCTTGTTAGTTCACGTTTTTTTTCCTCTCTTTAAATTTCATAAATGAGTCTATTTATAGTTGAGGATTATAAATGATTCATTAGATTCATAAATTTTTTTGTTGGAGGTTCCTTGTGATCTGTTCCGTTCTTGCTTTGTGTTTCCTTGAATATTCAAGCTTTTTTGAGGTTCTCCAGTAGATTAGGCAATAGAACAGTGCTTTACGGCAGAGACTTCCTCTTTTACACAGTAATGACTAAAAACATTAAATGCTTTTGACAAAAGTGGTTGAAGCTTATACGTTTTTTTAGTTAAATTAAATTTTAACCCTTATGGAAAAAAATAATTAATAGTAAGGGGTTTTGAAAAGAAAATTTAAAACTTAGGAAGGTTAATTTTAAACTTTTAAATATGAGAGTTTTATATGCAACTGTTTTAAAATTTAGGAAATTTTATGCATTTTAACACCTCTTTATTTAATTTTTTAAAATTATTTAATAATATTATATTACTTAATGATATTATATTTTAATCAATATAAATTTTATTAATAACAAAATATTATAATTATAGTTGTTAGTATTTTTAATTATTTATTCTTAATTGAATATTTATAAGGAGTGCTGGCGTTTCCCCACCTTGTTTTTTAATTATTAATTAATAATATATATTAATTACTGATACTAATTTAAATATTTATTTTATTATAATTTTCTTAATATTTATGAGTAATTAAAATATA